GAAGCGGCGGCGGCGAGAGAGTTCGCAGAGCGTTCCCTGCGCATGCGCAGGGGACGCTCTGTCACTTTTGGGGGGATTTAAGTATCCCCCCGATATTTTTTCCGGGTTTTTAGATTTTTGTGCACACCTGGTGACTGCCCCAAGTGTGCACGAAAATCTCCCTCCCCCCCAGGTGCCCCGGATGCGCGGATTTAGGTATCCGCACGCATGGGGGCGACTTTGCTATTAGTATATAGATTACTGTATGTTTGGTGTTTGATTGGTTGGCGCACAGGACATACGGTTGTCATGTGGCTCTTTTTGTTGATGGCAATTATGAATGCAGGTCTCCACAAGCTACCACTGATTTAGACAGTATACTTAATCCCTTCAAATTACACAAGTTTCAGTACCCTGTCTCCTGACTGTCTGCATGTGTATGATGCCTAAATGCAATTAATCATCAAATCAACTTCTAAGTATTTAAGGATAGTTTTCACATTACATTCTGTACCTTACAGACAGGGCTATTTTTGGGCAGGAACACACAGGAACGGAGTTCTGGCTGGCTTCCAAGTTGGCCACACCCAGCAGGAACTCATTAGCATAATAGGCCACACCCAACAGCAGAAACTCATTAGGACTGGCTTCATTAGGGGTGTGTGGCCTAACATGCAAAGCAGTTCCTGCTACAAAAAAAGCCCTGGGTTTTGACAACAAACAAGGTAAACAGAATAAGAAGCAAAAGGTGGGTGTGGCTGGATGAGCACACTTCTGGTAACATGGGGGTGTGGCCTAATATGCCAATGAGCTGTGCTGTCAGAGGTGTGGCCTAATATGCTAATAAGTTTCTGCTGTTGGGTGTGGCCTATTATGCTAATGAGTTCCTGCTGGGCTTTTTCCACAAAAAAAGCCCTGCTTACAGACAATCCCTTAGAGAGTGGTTCACATGTCCCTGTACAGTAACTTTAGCTCACATCATTTGATGGCTCTAATTATCTAAATCGCTTCTGTTTAAAAGTATAGTGCTGGATACCAGGAGCTTTTTGACTATGGGGATGGCTCATTCCCACATCCAAGTTGTCACTTGATCTGGCAGTCAAAGTGATGACAAAATACATATGAAACAGCCAGAAGTATGATTACAGTTGTTTTTAAGGAAACTCACATTCGATATGCAGTTTACACGATGCTGTAGGAATGCCACACAAGTGTCAGCTCCCCACCACATTTGTATGCAAACCCCACAGGTACTGAAATGAGAATACAATGGGAGGAGCCTATATTCACACAGCTACCATCTACTCTAGGGTTGCCAAGTCGTTGCAGTCGCCGCAGCGGGAGACTCCCAGGTGGCGACTGGAGGGTACGTGCAAAGTGCGCGCGCGCCACACACACATCACCCGGAAGTGACGTTAGGACGCCGGGCACGCTGGGGGCGGGGCCACACCCCTCGGAGGGAAAACCATAGAGTTTTCCCTCCAATGGTCGTGGCCCTGCCCTCAGCGTGCTCGGCGTCCTAACATCACTTCCTGGTGACGTGCACGTCGGGGCGGGGTTCCCCCTGGGGCCCAATCCGCCGGCGGCGGGGAACGGGCCTCTGGCAGCCCTACTCTACTCCCAAGAATTCTGCTCACTACATGGAAGTGTATTCACAGTTAGGAGTACTGTAACACATTGTACATGCCACTTTGCATGATCCTAAGCATGTTTATTTTATTTTGAAGTAGCTCCCACTGAGTTAAAAAGGACTGATGCTCTGGTCAACAACAAGTAAAGGTAAAGGTTCCCTTGCTCGAAAGCCAGTCGAATCCGACTCTAGGGTTGCGGTGCTCATCTACGTTTCAAAGCCGAAGAGCCAGCGCTGTCCGAAGACATCTCCGTGGTCATGTGGCCAGCATGACTAAACACCAAGGCGCACGGAACGCTGTTA